TTCCTCCCCCTTTCCCCCCCCAGGCCCCCCCCGCCCGGCCCCGCGTTCCCTGCCACCAGCTCTACCTCCCGTTGGCCGGTTACTCCTCCCGATCTTCCCTGGCCAGCCCCACTGCACCCCCCGCCAGCGCTGCTTCCAGTGGCCAGTTCTCCCCTCCTCCTCCTGAGCTCCCCCAGCCAACTCTACTCCCCCCTCCCTCCACTGACCAGCTTTGCTTCCCGTCGGCCGCCCCTCCGTCCCCGATCTCCCCTGGCCAGCCCCTGACACCTTTCCGCCCTCCAGCTCTGCTTCCTGGCTCCCCCTTCCTCCTCCCGGCCAGCCCCTGACTCTCCCCCTCCAATGAAGTGTGTCCGGTATTTTTTTTTAAGACTACCTGGTAACCCTAGCTGCACTTTAAATTTTTAAATGTAGACAAATCCTAAGGTGACATTCTGGCTCAACTGAACTCTGTGATAAAACTCCCATTGTCTTCAATGAAGCCTTGATTTCACATCTGGTGTAAACAGCAAGTTGTAGCCAGTCCAGGGGAATCCTAGTAGGAAGGTTAGGATTTCTGTGATTTCCATCTGCATTTCCACTTAAAAGCTATGTATCGGTTTTTGGACACCTTCATCCCACTTAATTAGCTTCATTAACACAGGTCTTACAATTGACAGGTACTTCTGCTATTATATATATCTCGTGGTTTCTGTTATTTCCACTCCAATTCATCTGATGATTCTAGGATAGCTCATGATTCTATCTATATTAATAAGTCTTTAAGGTACCACTGGACCACGCGTTGTTTTTAAAGTTACAGACTAACATGGTTAGCACTCTGTGATTTTGTAAGCAGTATTGATCAAGTCTGACGTAAAGAATATGCATGAAGTGATGAAATTGAGATTGTATATAGGCCCTGTTTAGTGGGGCATTTAATAATTTTTGAGTGCTTGATTTTACAATGTAAGTTCCTATAATGTAGTTTTTGTATTAGTTTTGGACTAGAGAGAATGCCATTAATTTCTCTTTATTATACCCTGTTGATGGTCTGTCCTGTTAACTCTTTTCAAATAGGTAAAGTCACACAAGCTAGAGAATTCTGGGATGCTGTTGTGATTACAGCAGCTGACCAAAAGCAGCAATTGGCTTATGAGCAACAGCTATCAGAAAAGTTGAAAAGAAAGGAACTTCCCCTTGGAGTACATTACCATGTTTTTGTGGATCCCCCTGGACCAAAAATTGGTGGGTATTTTACTGCCTTTTTCTTTCTTGTTTTCTCTTACATGCCATAGTCATGGATAGGGATGTGATAACTGGTAACTGGTGGGGGCTGGAGCAGCTCCCCAGCTGCCACAAGCAGCCTGGGTGCTTCTGTTTGCAGGGAGCCCAAGGAGCCGCATAGGCAGATACTTCAATGTCCAGAGTATTCTCTGTTTTCGGTAGGCCGGGCGCCCTGCAAGCAGGGGCTCTTCCAGCATCTGGAGTGCATCTCTCCACAGGCCTGCCGTGGACACAGGCTTCTCTGGTAGGGGCCAGGAGCTGATGGCAGCCAGAGCTTCCACACAGGGTCTGGGAGCCAGCAGCCAGCCCCACTGCAGGACCCCACAGGCTGGGGACTTGAGCAGTCCTTCGCCCGAATCCCACTTAGTCAGGTAACCTGTTTCACATCCCTAGATAAAAAAGACATGCTAACAATCAGTCAAAGAAATTAAGTTTACCAGGTTCTAACTACATTCATTCAGTAAATAGATACCAAATAGATTGCAAAGCCCGATGGCAGCTTTGTCACAATCTGGTCTCTATCCTTCTGTATAACAAAGGCCTTAATGATTTCTGTGAGCCCTAATCTCTTAGAAAAATAGCCAATCTTGATTTTAAATGTTTCCGGTGATGAAGAAGCCACCTCAACCATTGGTAAGATTCGTTATATAATATTTCACTATAAATTGACTAATTTTCAGACAGAC